AACAATCGAGGTTGGGAAATAAAATAAGGTGTCCTACCTTACAGACGATTCTGTTCTTTTTCTTTTCCTTTGGTCCCGGTCGTTCTGAGTTCTGTCTGAATTTTCAGCAACGGCGGTCGATCGTGGTCTTCTCAGGGTTGAAATCCTCGGTCACTGCACCACTTGTGACGTGGTTGTCTCAGGGTTGATCCTGGTCACGGCACCACATGTGACGGTTACACACCTGGCCCAGGGTCGAATCCCTTGGTTACGGCGCCAACTGTGACGTCGCTCCTCCTGGTCGCTCCTCCTGGTCGCTCCTCCTGGTCGCTCCTCCTGGTTCCAAGCGTGCCGCTCCAACCCCTTGGTTAGATGATCACCAGCCTCGCCTTTCCCAACTCGCTTCCAATACCTGGTCACTAAAGCAACTGTACCGATCTCCGGTCTGTCTACCCACGCTGTGTTTAGATCTTAGACAGACGGGACCAGCAGGGATTGGGGCCGATACAAGTTGAGTCCGACGGGGGTGGCAAAACACAAATAAAAGAGAAAATAAACTCACGAGACAAAAAGATTGCTGATGAAAAAAAAAAAAAGGGTAACAACCTTTTATATCTTAATGTCCGTTACATAAAAACAAAATTGTTCTCAATTCCCGACCCGCTCTGTGGACTATGGCACCAAGCTTCTATCACACAACCTAAAGATTTCTGAATTGCCTACTTTTAGAATTGTGTATGTCGGAGTGTGGTTTGGTTCGACACTGGGGCTAATTTCTATCGATCATTCGCAGTTGATTCTTCTCTTCGACTTGAGTTGTATTTCTTTTCTTCGTCGACTTAGGCTGGAAGTTCTCTTGTCTTCGACTTGGGCTGAAGGATCTCTTGCCGCAACTCAGCCGCAACTCTCTGTCGTCCGAGGTGATCTCTTCTCGCTGCCGTCCGGGGCTGAACTGCCTTTTGTCGATTGGGGCCCTGCTTTTATTGACGCCGCAGCAAACCGGGGTGGGTCTGTCGGCGTCAGGGGTTTCGATAATTCCAAAAGTCGCATTATTTTTTGACTTCCCATTATCGCTATTGTTTTCACCCCTACTTCCTCACAGTGCCTTTGGTGGGGAGGTGCACCCATCTCTTAGTCTCTCGTATGTCAGGTGACCGTTTTTCGACCAATGGTTCCTGATCGGGCATTTCTTTCTTTCTTTTTGCAGATCACGTGACCGTTTCCGACCAATTGTTATTGATCGAGCATCCTTTCTCCTCCTTTCGGGCGTGGTTACATCGTTCTTGTTTTTAAAAAAACAAAATCCAATTTTGCCCTTTTCTGCACGTACGAAAATGACAATCTTGGCTTTCTCTCACCTGGGCTCTGTCAAACAGCCCGCCGCTAATTAGATGTGACTTCAGGGAAGAATATTGGCGCTATCTGTGAACTGAGACAATCGTCCCTTCACCTCCTGTCTTTGTCAGACCCGACAGTCAGAAAATCTTAATTATCTACATTGAAAATGTTCCCCCACTTTATTATCGTAGGTTTCCAATTCTTAATAGGTCAGGATCTGTATATAGTTCCACCGGTCACTCCCTCAACCCAAAAAACACTTTTTTCTCTGATTAAGATTTCGTTCTCATTGTTCTTAAAATTTCCCTTTACTCCAAATTGATAATGAGTCTTTCTACGCAAAAGTAGGTCAGATGTTTTGACCGATATCTGGTTTTCATCAAGCGGCCCGTTTTGATATCATGTCTTTTCCCTTTCTTTCTTCTTATTATTTCTAATTCTATTCTTCCAATTGTCTTTAAAAAATTCGGCCACACGCAGGCCAAGATATCTTTCTGACTCCTATCTCCACCATTGACTGGGTCATGCATCATCCAACTCTCTTTCTTTCTTTTTTTTCTTTTTCTTCCTCTTTCTTCTCTTTTTCTTTTCTTTCCTCTTCTTCCCTTAGGATCGTCTAAGTACAATCTTAGTGAATTATTTTCAACTCAATTATTTTCCGTTTTAAAAAAAATCAACAACCTGTTTAGTAAACCGAGTAAGAAAAAATTAAATCATATTTCTATGAATATTTCTAATAATGCAAGGTGCCACATATATATATAAACAAAAATGTTTGTACCACAGAATTTAAATAATGTCTTTGAAAATGACGGAACGCTTTCTTTTAAAGAGACCTTTTTCGTCCAACACTTCTTCAGAAAAAATTCGTTGGACCGACAGTAAACAAAAGGGCGAAACTGAAAAAGGTAGACATGGGGGGGGGGACAATTAGGGAATCACAACTAAAATAAATTTATCGGTGTAAATAAGCCCCTAGTGAGTATAAACATAAAAAAATTACTCACTACCCATATATATATATATATATATATAGTCGACTCTCCCGACGACATTCGACGTATGAGGGTCAAGAAGATCAGTTTCCAGGAAACCGACAGCCAGACAACAGCACATGAGATTTGATTATAGTGGTGAAGGTTTCGTGCAGGACCATCCACACTTTTTGAAGGGCTGAATACAGAGACCTGGTGCACTACGTATCACAAGGTCCCCAAACGACCCTCCGCAGGTTTTGAATTCAGAGTTGTCTTTCTCCTAGACCGGTTGCCATCCAAGGCTATAGAACCCAGTCTGTCCTGCTATTTTACCCAATAGCTGGAGGGAGAAGAAGAGGATTCACACCTTTCCCAAGGTTATTAGCACGTAAGTGAATGTAATGGATTCGACTGGAATTATATATATATATATATATATATATATATATATATATATATATATATTATAAATTAATTGATTTAAAATATGGTTTTTTCCGCTACACAGTTCTAACCATGTTTCAAAAATATTAATGCTCTGTAAATTTACATTGAGCACTATTTTGTAAAAATAAAAATCTATAAGAACACCGGATTATATATCTTACTGTTCTTTCTTTTTTATTTATATATATATATATATATATATATATATATATATATATATATATATATCACTTACACGTTATTTTTAGTGGGTAGAAGCTCCGTTTAATTATTTTTATACATATACTGTATATTTATATATTTTGCTCTACCGGCCTGAACATTCATGAAATCTTATTAAAGAAAAATATACGCTCTCCAGCAGGATTAGAACCTTGGCAGGGTGGAAATCGTCGTTAGATCCGACGTGCTTCTACCGTCTCAGCCACGAAGGATATTTAGCCATCAAGCAAGGCTGAATATTGCCTTTAAGCGTAATCCTTTTTATCATAGAGACTCGGCAGATAGGAAATTTCGAGAATCATTGACGAGAAGGACGTCGCTTAAAGGCACTATTGTGGACTCATGGGGTGCAGATACTATGCCTCTAAAATAAAAATAAAAAACACGCTGGATTTCAACGGCTATGGATAAACCACTGGAGAAGAAATATCGAGATTGCTGTTGACACTAACGGGCATTAGGTGCAAGGAAGGTTGATGGGCTGATTTGTTACGGCTTCTCAACCCTTTTGGGTCATTTAAAGTTGAAATATATTTTCATTGTGTTGTAACCTAAGAAAGGTTACTGAATGAGGAATAACATAAAGGAGGTTGGAAATGAAATGATAATCTTTATAACATCAACAAAATACAATACTCGCCAACGGCGTGAAGTAGGTAAACCACTACAAGTGATGGAGTACTTAGACAGCATATTGCCCCCTCTTACAGTAGTGTCCAACGTATTTATGAGGATTGAGACATAACCATTAGTATTCATATGTACGGTATATAACAGAAAGAAAGAAAGAATAAAAGGAAGAAAAAGAAAGAAAGCTTAACTTTATTAGGGAAAGGTGGAAAAAGAAAGAAAGAAATAAAGGAAGAACCAGAGAAGTGAATGTCATTAAAGAAAGATTAATTTTATTGGGGAAAGAAAGAAAGAAAGAAAGAAAGAAAGAAAGAAAGAAAGTGATGAAACCTAGAGAGGGCTACTGAATGAGGAAAAACCAAAATGGAGGTTGAAAATGAAAGGATAATCTTTATAACATCAACAAAACACAATACTCTCCAGCGGCGTGAAGTGGGTAAACCACTGCTAATGGTGGACTGCTTAGACTGCATATTACTCCCACTTATAATAGTGTCCGACGTATTTATGGGGATTGGGACATATCAGTTAGTGTTTATAGATGCGGTATAAAGCAACTATGAAAATAGATTGCAAATGATTTTACGATGAAAATGCATTGCAAATGATTTTATGATGAAAATGCATTAGAAATAATTTTACTATGAAAATGCATTGGCAAATGATTTTACTATGAAAATGTATTGCAAATGATTTTACTATTGAAGTAACTTAGGAAAGCTTACTGAATGAGGAATGACCAAAACGGAGGTTGGAAATGAAATGGTAATCTTTATAACATCAACTAAATACAATACTCGCCAGCGGCGTGAAGTAGGTAAACCACTACTAGTGGTGAACTACATAGACAGCATATTATCCACACTTACAATAGTGTCCAAAGTATTTATAAGGATTGGGATATACCATTTAGTGTTCATAGGTATGGTATATAACAGATTGTAAAAATGTTTTTTTTTATTATTGAATTTTTAGAGATAATAATGATGTTTTTAAATACAAGTCCTTCTATCTAACCCGTAGCTGGGCGGGGTGGGGAGAAGATATGGATTCATAATATTTTCAAGGATTTTTGAGTGTAAATGAATATAGCGAACTCGACTGGAATTCGAAATCGGCTTTCTTATTTCTCATTCCGATCCGTTGTCCATTACACCACCCGCACATCCAGAATATTCATCGCCTATATCGAACAATTTATAGTGAAGTCTTCAGATTAAAATTCAGGAATGTTTCAAGCTACGGACTTATAGATCTACTCTGGGAATTTGGGTGTGTATAAAGAACTGGCACAGGCAATGAACGCAAGAGGGTTGTTGAGCACGAAAAAAAATCCTGGAAGCGAAGAATAAATCCATCCGAATCTTCTGTTTAAATTTGACCATCCTCTGAATTCCTTTCTTACAGGTCTCTCCAGGTCGGTTGTGTGCAAAGGAAAACCCGATGGCATCTATGAAGTTTCCTGTCTATCGCTAGGCAAATGTATCAACGGTAAACTAAACAGAATACTATGTCCAATAGGTGAGGTTATCGACACAGATGTACATCAATGCAAACCGTAAGCAAATTCAAATTCTATTTGCACCCTCAGAACGTAAACGGTTATGGCTCTCCATAGCTTCCTATCCTTTGTAGCTCTTAATAAACTTTGTTTTTCTGTTATTTCTCTTACACCCTGTTTCGCCATCCATTTAGTCAAGATCACTAAGAATGCTATGCGTTGTTTCCTTCTGTCACTCTTGCTCTATATCTGTCCCGTGAGTATCAGATTTTCCAAGCCCCCCTTCCTCATGATGTGCTTCAGAAACCGCAACAGTCTTTCCTGACGTTAAGTATAAGTTTCTCCTTTGTTTCTAAAAATTCATCGTTGCTCACATGTCCGGTCCATGGTACTCTCAGCAACCTTCTCTAGAAGCACATTTCGGTGGAGTAATGGATAGCGGCTTGGATTAAGGAATCGGAGAGCTGACTTCGAATTCCAGTAGAATCCATTACATTCACTTACGTGCTAATACCCTTGGGAAAGGTGTGAATCCTTTTCTTCTCTCTCCAGGTATAGGAGGACAAACTGGGTTCTATAGCCTTGGATTGCAACTGGTCTAGGAGAAGGACAACTCAGAATTCAAAATCTGCGAAGGGTCGTTTGGGGACCTTGTGGCACGTAGTGCACCAGGAGTCTATATTCGGCCCTTCAAAAAGTGTGGATGGTCCTGCACGAAACCTTCACCATTATAATCAAATCCCATGTGCTGTTGTCAGGCTGTCGGTTTCCTAGGAACTGATCTGCTTGACCCTTGTATGTCGAATTCGACGGGAGAGTCGAGAGTGTATATATATATATATATATATATATATATATATATATATATATATATATGTTTCATATGGGACACACCATATACCATATATTTATTACATAACAAGTATACAAGGGTTCAATATGTTATGGTTACTTCCTACAAGTATATGATATCTCTTTTGCTGACGGTGGATCCTCATAATGTGTGTGTTTGAAATGAAACACAGAGTCGTGCTCACGTGTTTGGTCCATGCTACTCTCAGCATCCTTCTCTAGAAGCACATTTCTGGTGTTTCAAGTTTTTTCTTCATCTTTGAGATCATCACTGCGATACAGGAGGACAGGTATCACGTCTCGGTTCAATACTCTTTCTCTTATTTCTAGCGAAATTTGTCTGTTTCTTAGTTCAGTACTCTTTTCTTTGTTTCTTTTGCTTCAAGTCACTTCTCCACCTGTGAGGAGATTATCCAGTATTCACAGCCATACAAGAGGACAGATATTACATAACAGTTCAGTACTCTTTTCTTTGTTTCTGTTGCTTCAAGTCTCTTCTTCATCTTTGAGATTTTGCAGTACTCACTGCCATATAGGAGGACAAGTATCACGTCTCAGTTCAATACTCTTTTCCTTGTTTCCAGCGAAGTTTGTCTATTTCTTAGAACTTTGCTTAGCTTCCTTGGCTATCCAAATACGCCTTCGGATTTCATAGTCACACTTTCCGTCCTCTGTTAAAACACTTCCCAGATATTTAAATATCTTGTTTGATTTTAGTATCTCCGATTTGCAATTTGCATTTTAGGCTCATCCTTTTGCTAACAATCATGCATTCTGTTTTCTTACAGTTCATACTTAATCCTTTCTTCTCGCTTTCCTTCGCTACCTCATGTTCACTGTTTTTAATTTATCCTATCGTATTTTGCGACATTTAGAATAATATTTTCATTAACCCATTATTTATATGTTCTCATCGTGGTAGGGATGTCATATTCAAATCATAAATATGTTGAACTCTTGTATACCAGTTATGTAATAAATATATTTGGTACTCTGTCATTTTTATAATCCAAGATACTCGCATTTAAAATGTGTCCTATCATTATCGAATACCCTATACATACATACATACATATATATATATATATATATATATATATATATATATATATATATATATATAGAGAGAGAGAGAGAGAGAGAGGGGGAGATTTTGCAAGAGTAGGTAAATTGTAATGAAAAACAAAACATGTGCACAAAACGTATTGTATTGATAATACAAACATATTAATAACAATATGTTTCAAAATCCATTCACCCTCCTTGTCCGTTTATTACCACTTTACCTGCAATCCATTTATTATTATTATTATTATTTATTAAAAATAAAATGTACTAAATGTATTATACTAAAAGTGTACTAAATGTATCATAAAAAGTGTAAATTATTATACTAAAAGTGTACTAAATGTATTATACTAAAAGTGTACTAAAAGTAATGTATTATAAAAAATTATACTAAAAGTATTATAAAAGTAAAAATGTATTATAATAAAATGTACTAAATGTATTATACTAAAAGTGTAATAAAAAGTATTATAATAAAAATACTAAATGTATTATACTAAAAAGTGTACTAAAAGTATTATAATAAAATGTACTAAATGTATTATACTAAATGTATTATAATAAATGTATTATACTAAAAGTACTAAAAAGTATTATAATAAAATGTACTAAATGTATTATACTAAAAGTGTACTAAATGTATTATACTAAAAGTGTACTAAAAGTATTATAATAAAAATGTACTAAATGTATTATACTAAAAGTGTAAATAAAAAGTACTAAATCATAACTAAAAGTGTACTAAAAGTATTATAATAAAAAATGTACTAAATGTATTATACTAAAAGTGTACTAAAAGTATTATAAAAGTATAAAAATGTACTAAATGTATTATACTAAAAGTACTAAATGTATTATACTAAAAGTACTAAAATGTATTATAAAAAATGTACTAAATGTATTATACTAAAAAAATGTACTAAAAGTATTATAATAAAAGTGTACTAAAATTATTATAATAAAATGTACTAAATGTATTATAATAAAAATGTACTTAAATGTATTATACTAAAAGTATTATAATAAAATGTACTAAATGTATTATACTAAAAGTATTATGTATTATAAAAAAAGTGTACTAAATGTATTATAATAAAAATGTAAAAATGTATTATACTAAAAAAGTATTAAATGTATTAAAAAATGTACTAAATGTATTATACTAAAAGTGTACTAAATGTATTATACTAAAATGTACTAAATGTATTATACTAAAAGTGTACTAAATGTATTATAATAAAAGTGTACTAAATGTATTATAATAAAATGTAAAATGTATTATACTAAAAGTATTATATTATATAAAAGTGTACTAAATGTATTATAATAAAATGTAAAATGTATTAAAAAAAATGTGTATTATACTAAAAGTGTATGTATTATACAAAAAAGTGTACTAAATGTATAATAAAAATGTACTAAATGTATTATACTAAAAGTGTACTAAATGTATTATACAAAAAGTAAAATGTATTATAATAAAATGTACTAAATGTATTATAAAAAGTGTACTAAAAAGTATTATAATAAAATGTACTAAAATGTATTATAAAAAGTGTACTAAAAGTATTATAATAAAAATGTACTAAATGTATTATACTAAAAGTGTACTAAAAGTATTATAATAAAAATGTACTAAATGTATTATACTAAAAGTGTACTAAAAGTATTATAATAAAAATGTACTAAATGTATTATACTAAAAGTGTACTAAAAGTATTATACTAAAAAGTGTACTAAATAAAAAAAAGTGTATTAAATGTATTATAAAAAAGTACTAAAATGTATTATACTAAAAGTGTACTAAATGTATCATAATAAACAAAATTATGAAAAAAAAAATGCCAAAAGGTCATTTTAACGAAGTGAATGAATTCTAGTATCAAATAAATTCGAGAACCACGAATATCATCAGTCAGTTATGTGCCATGCGATCATGTATCTTTCGATACGAAGCAGATTATTTTCCCGCAACAGGTTGCCATTTCTTTCTGCGTTGTCTATCCTTGGCTATAGAACCCGGTCTGTCCTGCTATTTATCCCTACCTGGGGAAAAGAAGTGGATTCATACCTTTCCCAAGGGTATTAGTACGTAAGTGAAAGGGACGGTATCTATCTATCGGGAGATGTTTTATTAAAGAGAGCCCAGAATATTAACCTTATGACGACAAATGGCGACATTAGAAGAAAACACAACTTTTTTAAATTAAATCTAAAATTAAAGAAGAAATTAAGAATGAACCCAAAAATAAATTTAAAAGAATTTATAAATAAAGAGACGTAGAAGATTAACAGAAGGTGATTAGGTTTATGAATTATAATCAATATAGCATTAACGGTTTTATAGGGGGGAGATGAGCTAATTAGGTTAGACAAATAAAATTTATATATATATATATATCAATCAGTTACGTGCCATGAGTGATACATGCTTAGGCGATCATGTATCTTTCGATACAAGATTGACGAAGCAGATTTTTTCCCGCAGTATGTGGCCATTTACTTTCTGACCAGTTGCCATTCAAGGCAACCCAGTCTGTCCTTTGAAAGATGAAAGAAAATCACCATATTGATACATAACAAAAGCCATTGGTTTATACCAACGGCTTCCCATACTTAATACTTCTCTTTTTCACTCTCGCGTGGTCATGTGTGACGTATGGGCTGCGGTGCGATTTTCGCTTTTAGCGTCTCGTATGCACGAGTTTGTCGTTGCTTGGAATTCTTCCATGTAAACAAAAACAGACTATCATTATTGTTTTGTCCGTGTATTGTTTAATATATTGTAATGTAATTGTCATCTTTGATAATTGCTTATGTAAGTCGAAAGCTTAGATAGAATTAAAAAAAATATGTATCAATATGGTGTTTTTCTTTCATCTTTTAATGATAATGTTATTAAGCTTATCAGACGATATGAAAAGAATTTACATAAAATAAATAGACAAAACTTGTCTATATTATTTAATGAAACATACATTAATGAAAAAATGCTGCCTAAATACACACACAATATATATATATATATATATATATATATATATATATATATATATATATAGTAAAAACCTTAAAAATTCATTGTCGGTAATAAATCTATTTCGATGAATATACGCATATTCATCTGATCAGACTTACTACATTTTATGAAATGGAATCAATATATCCAGACAGACAGATATATAATGATAAAAATAAGAAATAGACAAATAAAATAATAAAAAATACAAGATGAAACAATAACAAATATAAGTTGACCTAGAAAGGTTTTCTTGTGCGTCTTACATTAAGAAAAACATGTTAATATAACGGGTAAGAGATGGTAAAGACATAGCAAGGTCAAATTTAAAACTGAGTTACGACCTTGTGTCAAGTTCACAGAAGAAGGCAGTGGTGTCTGTTTAGACAGCATCATCATCATAGAATAAAACCATTATCATATAATACTAATAATATATATATGTGTGCGTGTGTGTGTATATATTTAGGAAGCATATTTCTATTCAAACAGGTTTGGTTAAATAATTTAGACATATGTCGATTTATTTTGGTTGTGATCCTTTCAAGTTTTCATGGATTAATTTCTTGGTAGCCTTAGAAGATGGATTACGAAAAATACCAAACTTTTCTTTCAGATAGTTTTTATTTTCCCAAGTACTTTCAGTCTCATCTGAGACCCTCTTCAGTGAGTTAAATTATTGAGGAATGCGTATATGTATTTCTTTAAATTCAGATCATTTCAACTGTTTATTTTACTGCGATATGCAGCGTTCTAGATTTCAAAATTCAAAATTCACGCGTTTTTTTGTTGTTTTTTTTTCCACAGCAATAGGGAGGTAACTTTTTCATTTTCTTTCTTTATTGAATATATATATATGTGTGTGTGTGTGTGTGTGTGTGTGTGTGTGTGTGTGTGTGTGTGTGTGTGTGTGTGTGTGTGTGTGTGTGTGTGTGTGTGTGTGTAAATTTTTGCTGTTACAAACATTTAAGGACTTTGTGGCTATACTCATAACTAACTTTATTTGTTTTGGGATTTAATTCTCTTATATAAAGAGCCTCAAGGATTTTTGCATTTTTCTTATTATTGATTTTATATAATATCGATGTATTTTTAACTAACATTTGTCTAAACTGTGATTGTGGGCTTGAGAGTTCCTTTAAATGCTGTGAGATTGAACTATGCTCATCCAAATCGAACGTAAGCATATATATATATATATATATATACACACACACTACAGTTCAAAAGTTTGAGGGAACCCCTGGTAATTTTTTTAAATTAGTCCCAAAAGTAGTTGTTTTTTTTTACTTTAAATAAGAGAAAATAATTATACATGGTTAAAAAAAAAAGTGAGACGTGATTTTTTTATTAGAAATTTTTTATGGCAAAAAAAGAAGCATTTTATGATTAAATTTTGCTCTTGTCAAAATATCCTCCTCTAGCCTTGATTACTGCAGCACAAATTTTTGGCATTCATTGCAAAAGTTTTTCAAAGTATAACATTGATAATTGATTCTATTCTTTTTTCAATGACTTCAAGAGCTCTTTTTCATTTTTTCCTCCTCTTCTGTCCAGTTCATACGATACTTATTTTGGAGGTGACTTCAAACTTTTGAACTGTAGTATATATATATAGTTGTATATTTAGGCAGCAATCCTTCCTTTATGCATGTTTCATTAAAAACGACAGACAAGGTACTACGGTTAATCTTTTTATTTAATTTTTCTTGTGTTCTGACAAGAGCTTTCTTTTCTGGACACAGGCTGTGTAAGAACTGTCCAAATGTTTTATATTGTAAATAATTACATCATAGATAATTACATCGGTTACACAACCACATGCTTATCCAGACGTCTTACGTTACACCTCTCTGATCACAACTCCATTAGAACCCATTTAAACACACACACAAATTTACCCGACTCCATTAGGAACATACTAGCAGAAAACACAAATATATTAACTGCATCCACCTGCAAAAAAAAGACTAAAAATAATGGAAGCTTTAATAATAAAAAAGAAAAAGCCAACTCTTAACAATATTAACTACGAACAAAGCCACAATGTGTTAACCGTATTCGGAAATTAAAAACATCTCTACCACACACTAATACATACACAGAACGCACACACTCAATTAAGCTGAAAAATCGAATCATCCTTGATAATGGCTAAAGGTATAGCCGAAAGCGCTCGGAAATATAAAACATTTGGGCAGTTCTTACACACCCTTTGTCCAGAAAAGAAAGCTCTTGTTAGAACACAAGAAAAATTAAATAAAAAGCTTAACCGTAGTACCTTGTCTGTAGTTTTTAATGTGACATATATATATATATATATATATATATATATATATATATATATATATATATATAAAAAAAAAATTAAGATAAGCTATATTTATAGGTTAGTGCTCAATATCAGGGTTAGAGTGTTTGATGTAAATCGCGGACTTTGAAGTCAACACCAGCGGCGATAGTCTGTTTCATGCTTAAACGCAATCATCAGGCCATATATATCCATACATTCAGTTAAAAGTAAAAATAAAATCATCTTTGATGATGGCTAATTGTATAGCCGAAAGCGCTCGGACATGCAGAACATTCGGACAATTTCTACATAATTCATGTCCAGAAAAGAAGCAAATTATAAGAACACAAGAAAAATTAAATACAAGACTTAACCGCAGTACCTTGTCAGTTGTTTTTATTGAAACTTGTATAAAAGAGGGATTGCTGCCCAAATACACAATTATATATATATATATATATATTTCCATGCTTGAAGATGACTGAATGTACAGTCGAAAGTACTTGCGTATTTAAGAAAAACCTTATACAGCTTATAATTTTAGAAAAGAAGGATCATAAAATTCATCGTGTGATTGGTAGGTTAATGCATCTTTAAAAATTTTGTTAGAGAAGGGATTTCGCTATTTTATATCATTAACTTTACTAATTGACTTTTTGTATGAATGATTCATTGTAATATAAATTGAACTGCACCATTATATTTGATATATATATATATATATATATATATATATATATATATATATATATATATATATATATATATATATATTGTGAGACTTTTGCTTAAATTCGTATTTTCTTAGTTACAGATGAAATCTTGAAAATACTTTCCAAGATTATAGATTATAATTACAGTTTAGACATATTGAAAAAAAATAATGCCAAACTTTCGCATTTTTTTTTTTTTTTTTTTCACATTTTGTCTAAAGTTCGTATTTTCTCGATTTCAGGTGAAAATTTCGAAATTTTCTAAAATATTTTATTGGTGTACATAGAAACGCACACTAAACTCACGCCGATTTTGATGACCCGGATGTGGACGTGTGAAACGAGAACCACGTTATGCCCCCTCCTCTTACACACACACACGCGCACACTGTATTGGAAATGTGAGACATGGTTGTCAAGTTATAGATGCTTTGTTTTCAGCAGAAATCGTCTTCCTCTCACATGTCCCACGTGATCTAGCAGTGGCTGGCCGACCAACAGTTTTCACAATCATGCCAACCCCCGCACCCATCACCACCCCCACAACACCAACATGTCGCTTCTTAGCTCGCATGATTTAAATCCCTGCGACTAGAACGTCTGTGGGTGTCATCAAGATGTTGAGGCTATTTTCTAAGTATTCCTATTTTTTTCTTTCGCAGAATGGCAAAAGTGAAGCCGCCTTGTGGCAAAGCCATAGATTGTTCGCAACTGAAAGACGGAAGACACCCTGATTATGACCAAAATTGCAGATCATACTACACTTGTTTAGCTGGCCGTTTTCTTGGTCACAACTTTTGTCCAAGTTGTGAGTTTTTCTTTTCATTTTTCTTGCTTTTTTTTTAATGTATCGGTAAGTCTTCAGTAGGGCTCCCAACGCTGCATCTGTTTTTTTCACCGGTGCCTCAGCTACATGAATTTAAGCGTGCTACTTGTTTGGCAACTAGATCTCACCGTTTTACTGTTGAACTAGCGAGAAGCAGCTACCACTTCTACTCTAACAGTTTCTTTTCTCGCACTTATTACCTGCGGAAATCCCTTCCAATTTCTTGCATCCCTGATAATTATACTCTTCAAAATTTTAAATGCAGCGTAAATCACCATCTTCTGTCTTCTTAAATCGTGTTCCTTTTCGTCCTTTCCTCGATCCCCCCATTCTCAGTCTTTTCTTACTCTTTCAATCCCTGTAACCCAAAGCGTTCGAGCGGCCTTATCGCCTTGCTTGGAGATATGCAACATATTATCCTACTACTGTAATTTTAGGACCGAAAACAGTTAATCTTACACTAATCTATAAAAATAATATATATATATATATATATATATTTATATTTGTATATATATATATATATATATATATATATATATATATATATATTTATAGTGATTTTATAACATATATATTTGTAGTGATTTTATAACATATTTTTTATGTTATAATTTTTAAATAAATAATTATATTCACTCTACTCTGTATTGAGCACTCTTTTAAAAATAGTAATTGTTGGTTATTGGAATTTTTTTCGTATACACCAATCATATACTTGTATATATATATATATATATATATATATATATATATTTATATATATATTATCATTATTTTTAAATATCATATTTTTTAAAAATAATTATAATTTAAGCTCTACCTTTGTATTGAGCACTGTCTTTAAAAATAAAAAAAAAATACTAAAGAACTTCGGATTATTTACCTAACGTGTTCTTTCCTATTTTTCTATATATTTACACACACATATATATATATATATATATATATATATATATATATATATATATATATATATATATATTTACAACATTAGCGGTAATATTTAATTTAAATAACAATTTCTGAATGCTTATTTTAACACATATTTATTTTTCTTTATTTTTCAAAATTTTAAAATATGGATAATTTTGAATGTTCTTATTTTAAAGAAAGAATTCATTTATTTATCCTGTTCTTTATTTTTCATTCAAATTTTTAAAATGCCATGGATAAGCAATGTCTTTGTTGATAAAGTTCTGTATCTAAATTCGCCGTGTTTGTACAGAAAGAATTCATATTTACATTTATCAGTCGTAACTTAGAAAACACACAACGTTCATAATAATATGCATTGTTTTCATCTTGTATTTTACATTGCTACAAATTAGTCGAATGCAACCGAAAAAATGGGGAATTATCTAAATAAGTCAATTTGTTTAGTAATATTTCCTTAAACCTGTACCGAATTATTAAAACGAATGAAGAATAGTATGTTTGCTTAATTCATTTTTATTATTATTAATGAAGGTACCGTCGTTAGATCCGACGTGCCATAGATCGACTCGGCCACGATGTGTGACGTCGATCAAGAAAAATTGAATAGTGCCTTATTAACGCAAATATTTCTCAAACTCACGAAACATTCATATCTCCTTAGTTTCGTATCCTAATGTAAAGAAAGCAATTTCTAAAGAAGTGATGGATTTTTAGTTATTCATACGACATACTTTATTACTTAAACGTTATTTTTGTGGATATCCATATCTGAATAAACGCTCCGTTTATTTATTAAACAGTATATCCGTTTATTTTTGTCTAGTTCACAAGGTAGTGGTTCGTGTGAAGTTGCTTCCCGAGTGGAACTTGCATCTCACCAGTGGAATACGAAAGTGCTGTGTCGTAAATAGGAAAGGTTGCAGACATATAAAAAATAAAAAAGTACTTTATTCCGGACAAAAATATGGTAGACGGTTGGGAACACATATTAATGTAATAAACAGTTAATCGTTAATTGCTCGGTCTTTATTCGAGACCTTCCCACAAGGTGGGATATGGCACAAGGCCGGTTTTTAACGTGGGGTTTTCCGAGCGCGTACGCTCAAGCAAAAATTCCCCGTAGACCCCGCATACACGGAGTCGAGAAACTACCTCCCCAGACGAAACTCTGCTCGTAGACATAGCCTTGTCTGTGTTCCTCTGCATGAGCTTTAACGAAATCCAATCGTTAACTCATCGCTATTTACTCGAAACCTCCCCTCAAGGCACAAGGCCAGTTTTTTTACGTGGGACGTTCCGATCCCGTAGACTCGGGCAAAAATTCCCCGTGGACCCCGTATACACGGGGTCAGGTAACTGTCTACCTCCCCAGTCGAGATTCTGCCCTTTGGCATTGCCTCGTCCGGTTTCCTCGAGAGCAGAGAGTCGACATGCAGAGTTAAGTGTAATCGCTAACTGCTCTCCCTCAGTAAGAGAGAGCGCTGTTTAAATAGTCTTAAACCGGCCCATTTTCTGGGAATGTTCAGCTACTCCACAACAGAAAAGAAATATCTATGAAGGTCAGGAATAGTGGAACTAATTAATGCATTTAAACGCAATGTATTTTTTAGAACTGTTAGGGCGCACCCACCTTCTGACTGATAATGGACTTATCCCTCTACGATATAAGTCAGTGCTAGAGAGAGTAGTTGTGTTGTGTTGTGTTGTGTGAGGATCAGGTTCAGCGATAGCAGTCGAGATCAGGTTACCATTACATACCGTTGGACTGTAGACTTTTGCTATTGTTACTTACTAACCGGCGTTCCTTATTACTAATCACTCTGTTGTTAATTACCTCTTACAAATATACCAGTATTTATCCCTACAACTGTGTTTGTCTTTATTCAAATACACACACGCGGGAACAGTCCCAACAACTCAGCAAGAACACAAAGCAGCGGTTCGTTGTATATTAAATAAAGGGTTCAGTTCGAAATATCTTGAAAGTCACTCGAGTTGACAAATACCTGAAGAAAGTCAGAGTGTACAATGGTCGAAACGTTTTGACAATAACTGTTTTATTTTCTTTGCCTTGTCGTGTCCCTTTTAGAGCAAATAGTAATAGCGTTTTTTGTGTTTACATTTTTTTCCAGCACTTATCTTTAACGATGAACTCAAGCTTTGTGATTTCAAAGGAAATGTTCTGAAACCCTGCGGAGATAAAGTAAAAGAGTAGGTTCAGAGATCTTAATTTATTTTTTATTGAAAATAAAACATTACTAACTTTATCAAAAATGATTGTGTTCGTTATTATTCACTCTTTGAGTGCTCACATCTGGAGTAACTAGCGGCTTGCTCTGAAGATTAAATGACAGCAAGTCTCCTCAATATCAAGAAAATTGTCGTTTTGATAGTACCGACTCTTTTCCCGATTTTCTGGAGGGGGTTATTAATTGTTCACCCAGTACAAGACACAGAGGCCACTCAAGTCACAAGGTTACTAAACGAGATAATAAACATAAGATGATGAGGTAAAGAGTGGAGTTAATCCTTTAACTTGAAAAAGTTAAGATTGTAGTCATGGCAGTCATGAGATTCCCCGAAATCTACAGCCTTACCCACTTCAAGTTTAGGGTCTGTCGTTATCTATCTTCTATATCATCAAAATCTTCACTTCGCTATGTAGACTAGGTTACATTTGTCATTCGTGTACATTTGTCGCTAGTCTGTCTTCAACGTTTAACGTGTGTAGTAGTGAGTTAACTGAGAAATATTCCGTTTAACAAAGGCAGGGTATGCATATCGTCATCCAGCAGATATGATTTTTACATACGGCGGCGTGAATGGTATTGGACGCGAGGCTGCACAGCTGTATTAGATTGTGTTTCCAGACCGATGGCATTTGAATCATCGAACCTCTGCAGCTGTTTATCATTGAGTTGCTGAGACAGTATCCGTGCCACCACAAACAGCGGATCGAGGAAGACCGAGATCCGTTCGTAAACCTGACCACGAAGAACACATACTACCGGATGTTGGAGATGAACCAGGTATCAGCACACGTCAGGTGGCCCTAGCATGCCGTGCATTTACATAGTATTGCATGGAGGATACTTCAAGAGTAGCTCCTGTATCCATATCGTTTGCAGGGTTTTTCGATCTCTGATCACTCATCACGAGAGACCTTTGCTGATTTTTTATTGGACAAACTGCCGATCCGTTTTTGTTGTTTTTTGTTTTTCTTTTCAGTCTTGTTTGCGGAGGAGGTAACATTTGGAAGAGCTTAAATAACAAATTTACACAGGCTAGACAGCAGCATCGGCTTACGATTAATATAAAGGCTGGAATTGTAGATGACTGTCTGGTAGGTCTATATGTTGTCCCAACACGCCTTACATGAGCTTATTGCAAGGATTTTAATTCGAACACACTTCCAGACCTGCTAGAGGATGTACCCCTGCTAATAAGAAGATGCATGTGGTTCATACATGATGGATCTCCAGCACATTTTATCACATTGTTCACAATGCACTGACTAACATCTGCCATGAAAGATGCATAGTTAAGGAAGGACTGATTCTATGGCCTGCATGTTTCCCCGACCTCAGTCCTTTGAATTTTTATCTATGAGGCCACCTAAAATAATTGGTTTAGGCAGTAGACATTAATAATGCAGAAACGCTTCATTACTGTGTCATGGGGGCCTACGAAATCATTCGACACCGTGTGGAAGCATTTGAAAGGTTCCACCAATCAAGTATCCGACGGGTGCATGCATGTATAGAATCAAGCGGAGGACATTTTGAACATTTGTCATGTGTTGTTGTGTTGAGGTACAATGATGGCCTTTTGGGCATATGTTTCTATGGATATTTTACCTTGTTTTGATATCAGGTACCGGACCCCAAAGTTTGTCAAAAGTATTTTGAGAGTGTATCTTGCATTGTACATTTAACAGCGTCTAGCGTAAACTTTAAACTTAATAACTTAAAAAAACGAAGGATTTGAGGACATATGTTTTATATGGACTTTTGTCCTTGTTTTGCTGTGAGGAAGCCGCCCCAAAAGGTTGCCGGCAAATATGGATAATTTAAATTAATCCAGCATTTTACATCATTCGAAGGAGAAATAAATTCTGCATAAAGCGTACACAATACAAATTTATATTGTTTTATTAGGAACATATTCTGAAAGGAACAAAACTTTAACCATCGGTCTTATTTTCGCTAGTATATATATATATATATATATATATATATATATATATATATATATATAAATGTCTCAAAATAATTGTCGAACTTTGTCCATTTCATAATAGATAGATAGATAGATAGATAGATAGATAGATAGATAGATAGATATATATATTATATATATATATATATATATATATATATATATATATATATATATTATGGAATGAACAAAGTAACACTCAGTAACCCCTTACCTCTTAGTGGCTCTACTGCCTTGCATGAGGTGACATGATTCAAAAAAAAAATATGAACGAAGGACGAAAATTGCCCAGTCACTACGACTACTCTTACGCTAATGTCGATATTCTTTCTTTAGTGCACTGAGGAGGTGCTGCCACGTAATTGAAATCCCCGGGTTCAGGTATCCCTCAAAGCCTTTCCATGAACTGTTTGAAGACAGTAACACGGCAGAGAAATCAAGAACAGATACTACACCATACTCAACCCGAAGATCTACATCTAGTGCCTTGAGGAAGTACTGCTGCCCTGGGTCATGTAGGTGGCTGCTGGAAGACCCGATGTCTGGTAACAGGACTCTGCACCATGCCACACAAACAGGAGAACCCAGTCATGTCTGTCAGACAATTTCTGCGACCCCATCATCCCTTACATCTGGCCACCTAACTCCCCAGACTCCTTGACTGTTATGTGTTAGACGTGAAACCAACAAAACTCCTTGTAACGCCAAAGATTAACTGAAGCAAGACTTATGGCAGCATTCACCAACTTAAACAAGGAGACCGCCCAGAAGAGATGCAGGAGATTCCGAAATCGTCTTGAGCTCGTGGTTGAAGTCAATGGCGATTTTATTGAATAAATTTACTCTTTAGTATTTCAAGATATGTTATTGTAATTTTGGTAAATATATCTGTTAAAATGTGATGTAGAGTATTATTTTCATTTTTGTGTAATTTAGATGACAATTTATCCATCGCACCCTGTATAATCAAATAACATTTATAAACGTTTTGTTAAAGATTTTATCCAGTTTATTTTTTATGAGAAAAAAAATGTCGGAAAACTTTCAGTTGGACTCGCATTCTTCTGATACTAACACCCAAGTGCGACACTGAGATCCGTAGACGTATTGGGATGGCCAAGGACGCATTCCAAAAGCTGGACAGAGTATTGCGAGACAGGGGGATTTCTTTGATAACAAAGAAAAAGCTACTGAGCTGTTACGCGACACCTGTCCTTCTTTACGGCAGCGAATGCTGGGCGATTTCCTCAATGATGAAGAAGAGACTCGAGGCGACGGAAATGTGGTTCTACAGAAGGATGCTGAGGATTTCGTGGACCGAGCGTGTGAGCAATGATAAGGTCTTAGAGAGGTTTCAAACAAGGAGGAGGCTTATAGTTAACACCAGGAAGAGGCAACTGAAGTTTCTGGGACACATAATGAGGAAGGAGGGCCTGGAGAATCCGATACTCACGGGTCAAATAGAGGGAAAGTGAGACAAGGGAAAGCAGCACATGACATTTCAGGCGGGCTTGAGCAGGTGGATGACAAAACGTGGTCTGGGAGAGATAGCAGAGGAAAAGAAATTGTTGAGAGCTGCAAGGGATAGAGGGGGTGGAGAGCCATGATCGCCTACGTCCTGATCGCCGTACGTCATGTCACATAAAAAGAAAAGAAACGCCTAAAGTTGGATTAAATTAGATTTATACGTAAGGGTAGCTTTTCTGGTTGAAGGCGCAACCAACTTAATCATATCTTCGGTGTTTGAAAATTGGGCATTACGACTGTCGAACTCCAACACGAGCAATATCATCATCATCATCATCCTCTTCAGCATTTTTCGACGCGGTTATAAGTTCAATTGAGCAAACGAAAAAAAATTCCATTTTGTAGTGTCACGCGCGTCTGAGAGTTGCATCAGCCATAATCTCTGTGATGATTCAAATGTATTTTCTTTGCATGAAAAACCGAAGAAATTAGTCGCGATGAGATACCCGGTGGATCGTCTCAGTGTTTCTCGGGTAGTTCTTTCGAACAATCTTGCAGCGTCTGGGTCAAAGAGTTACTTTCTATCCCTCTAGACACATCAAAACAAAAAAGCTGGGATAAAATAAAATGCGAGGCCTATTTTACTAATTTGAGTCTCTCTCTGGATTAGCATCGCCTCGCCTGTCTACTATCTGCTTCACAACCGATTAGTGGCGCCTGGCTCAACGCAGTGCCCTCTTCATCTACCGGTACCCTTCTAGATGATGAATGCACTGGGTTCGGAGTCGCGATCCGTCTTGGACTCAAATTATGTGAGCGTCACAGATGCAGATGTGGAGCTTCCATCAATGAGTTTGGTTTGCATCCTCTCTCCTGTCGTCGTAGTGCCGACCGCTTTCCATGGCATGCAGCAATAAACGACATCATTAGAAGAGGTTTGGATGCAGCTGGGTTCCCTTCCCAAATCGAACCCTTTTAAAATGGGGAAGTCGTTGATCTAGGATGTGACCTGTGCGGATATATTTTCGGCTGGTAATTTGATCAGGTCCGCGGTTGAGCCGGGATCTATCGCCCGGGACGCGGAGATAAAAAAAAAATAGTTAAATATTCTTCACTTGTTGATAGAATTTTTTTTCTCCTGTGGCAGTGGAGACTTCTGGGGTTATTGGCCCTCGTTCGATGGCGTTCCTTCGGAGGATTGGCGCGATTGCGTCTCGAGTAAGGGATGGGTCTCGCGAAACGAAGTGACTCTTGCAGCGTGTCTCACTGGCGATGGTGCGAGGTAATGGCCGCAATTTTCGACAGATTTGTACCAAAATTTACATGCACATGCTCCAAGTTAGCGGGAAGGTCAAGACTGACTTTGCATTTCCCAACTATCGATAGTGGAAATAATCGATTTTTTGATGCTTCTACGGCAGTTTTCATGTAGTTTGCGGCCATTTTGCACTGGCTTGAGTGAAAGCCAATAGCTGGCGGCCACGAATAGACAGAAAGATTCTATTGGCCAGCGTGAGAGCCAACAGCTGACTAACACGAATGTTAACTAGCATGCTAGCATGCAAAAAGATCGATAGCTGCATTCGTCACAAGTGGGAAAAATTTAAATCTGCATGGCACTTTACTCCAATTGGCTCATTCGCTTGCTTAAACTCAACGTTGATTCTGATTCCGCAGAACTAGGTTGGGTGTGAAAAAGTATTTGTTGTTAACATTCTTTTTTCATTAGGTTTTTCCAGTTACGAGTCCTTTTTTAAAGCTGATCGTTTTGTGTTCATTTTGTTTAGTTCTTTTTTCGTAACAGATTTAATGTTTAGTATAGAGCTTAAAAAAAAATTTGCAGTGTGAGATAGGCAAGAAGTAAGGCATGTAACAACATCAGCACAGCAAAGGGCACTCCTTTAAAGGCAAGGAAGGGCAAAAATATTTTAAGTCAAATGATAGCGATTGCTGTATGACTCGTACGATTTTTGAATCAAGCACGGGCAACGCCGGGCCATGCTGCTGACTGTTTATAATTACTTTGTTCAAACTTTTTTTTTTTAATTGAATTGATTTTCATCAGCGTTTTAATGAAACGCTGAGTATGATTTCCGGAATTCTGAGAACGTTTGAGATGAAATATTAGAATGGGTCGAATTCAGATAATTTTTGAATCCATCATCACCCGAGCTGTTTCAAATAGAAGACAGTCTATAAGTTGTTCATCTTCTGTAACGTTGTATCAGTCCAACCCATACTTTACTGTCCTGTGCTTACTGACGAAAGTGCTGCATATCTTTCAAGTTCTTCATATGATGAAATTTTATTGATCTTTCTTTTAATGTTGTTATTCAGTCTGTATTCCATTTCGTATCGATGACAAAAAAATTTTCATAATATTTCTATTTCCAAAGCTATTAATTTGTACTAACTCCTCTTTGATTTTGGTTTTTTGGATACAGTCAGTCAGTCACTTATGTGTGATACACGCTTAGGCGATCATGTATATTTCGATACATGACTGACGAGCCAGATTTTTTCCCGCAGTAGGTTGCCATTTCTTTCTGCAGTAGACCAGTTGCTATCTTTTTGAATGCGTTGCCATCCAAGGTTGTAGAACCCGATCTATCCTGCTATTTACCCATAGCTGGGGGAGAAGAAGAGAATTCATACCTTTCCCAAGGGTATTACTACGTAAATGAATGTAATGGATCTGGCTGGAATTCGAACTCGGCTCTTTGATTTCTCAAACCGAGCCACTATCTATTTCTCCACCGTGCCTCCTTTTCGGTGTTTGAAGTTCGGCGTTAGGACTGTTGAACTCCAACACGGGAAATATCATTGTTATCTTCCTACTCTTCATTGGTTATAAGTTCAATTTTGCTCCCTGATGACAAAGGCAAAGTCATTCCATTTGCTAGTGAAGCATAATTCACTTTTGTTACGCTTATCTGAGATTTGCGTCAGCCATAATCTCTGGCTTGACCAAGATGGGATAATTGACATATATGTTCTTTGCATGAAAACAACGAGAAAATTAACGCGAACTCATTTATCAGCGTCTTTATCTAACGTTGAGTACGGTTTTCTAAATTCTCAGACATTTGTCTGAGATTAAATATTAGAATGGGTTTAGTTCGGATAAGAGAAAAATGTTTGGATAATTTCAATTGTTCTCTTCTTTTCACCTCTGGATAATAGAATCCTGGAAAATCGATGTACGGATAATCGAGGAAATTTTAGTGAGTGCGAAATAATAATAAATTCCTTCACCAACTCCCTTCAAATTCAGAGGACTGATGAAGAAGAAAGAAAGTCGCTAGCTTATATGAAATTTTCTCTTGACCAATGAAAACCTTGCCTTCACAGAAATTGACCGATAAGCAGAAAAGAAGAAGGAAAAGAATTCGCGAGCCTATGTTACATTCTTTTTTGACCAATGAAAACTTGCTATCACAGAAATTGACCGGTAAGTAAAAAAGAAGGAACAGAATTTTCGAGCCAATGTGAAATTCTTTTTTGACCAATGAAAAATTTGCCTTCACTGAAATTGACCGGTAAGTAAAAAAGAAGAAGGAACAGAATTCGCGAGCCTATGTGAAATTCTTTTTGGACCAATGAAAACCTTGCTATCACAGAAATTGACCGGTAAGCAGAAAAGAAGGAAAGGAATTCGCGAGCCTATGTGAAATTCTTTTTGGACCAATGAAAAATTTGCCTTCACAAAAATTGACCGGTAAGCAGAAAAGAAGAAGGAACGGAATTCGCTAGACTATGTGAAATTGTTTTTGTACCAATAAAAACCTTACCTTCACATAAATTAGCCGGTCAGCTGAGAAGAAAAAGAAAAGAAAGAAGTGAGCTTACGCGAAATTCTTTTTTTATATAAAATAGGGTGAAAAATTAAATTAATGACAGAAGAGTGTCTGAAGTCATATGAAAAATTCGTTTCAGTTCCTCACAACCTACGATGAAGTTCTTGCCAATATAAAATTATTCACCAATTATATTATCGACCTCTAAGTACAAGGTACTTCAAAGAATTTTCTCTCAACGATCCAAGAAAGCTAAGTAATTCAAACTATATCTCTTCATCTTACATTTGATCATATGCAAACTTATATCCATTCAGTTAGCAATGGATTCTCTTACCTTTGTTTTAAACATTTTTAATATTATTTTGTGTCAGATCATTTAATCTGTTGTATGAACATTTCCTCTTGGTGACAATACGTTAAAACTACTGACTTTAAAAACGAGCTACTTCAAGCGTGTAAATTTGTGAATAAATTCCTTGTATTGTTTTGTTAAAATTACCCATATGTTTCCTTATCATTATCATCCTTTATTAATATTCTTGGCGTGTTTATTGTTTATTTTAACCCCTAAGCATTAACTTGCTAACCATTCTATTCAGATGGCTGGTTTACTGATACAAAACAAATTCGTATATGTAAGGGGCACTTAGAAACGACAAAACTCACAACTGATGTGATGGACTCTGATATTAGCTTACTAATTATTGGTTCAACTAGTTTCTTTATCAGGCCATAAAGCCATGTGTGTACCGCCCCTAGTAAAGACTAAACTCACCGCAGCAAGAAAAATACAGTGGTACCTCGGGTCTCGAATGTCTGTCATCATGAAAAAATCGGTTCACGAACAAATTTCCTGAGCCAAAAAAAAAAAGTCTCTGGTGACAAAGGGTGTCTTGAACGACACACCCGCAAGCCGGCGACAACAATCCGGGGGTATCGGCGGGTAAGCTTCAGTTGAGATGTAACTGTAGATCCAGACTGTTCATTTCTGTCGAACTCTCTGCCTCGGCAGAGAGGAACTCAGACTAAGCTTTGTTGCAGAGCAAAGTTTCGTGCGGGGAGGGAGACAGTCCCTGAACCCGTTTAGGCGGGTTAAAAGGGAATGTTTTTGGCCGAGTCTACAGGCTCCGAGTACCCACAATAAACCGGCCTTGTGCCACATACACCCTCATGGGGGGGGCTGTTAAATATTAACTGTAGATCCATACACATCCCTAGCTGAATTCGCTGAGCCTTTCGAATTTCATTGCATAATTTTTTTTTTTTTGGGGGGTTATAAGTTATTAAATAAGGCGTATTATTAGAGAAGCAAATCACAATGGACAAATTTTTAGGGAGACAGCATCCCCGTGAGTCGCGATCGGAGTCAAATGGCGCTTGGAAACCGAAAAGAGAAGGTGTGATTTACTTGACTCCCACCCCACTGAGTCAGGTTGTGACACAAGGTCAGTTTTCACTCGGGCCGCTGGTCCAAGCTAGTCTTAGCTTGTCCAAGCTGATCTAAGCTTGTCATAGCTGGTCTAGGCTTGTCATAGCAGGTCCACGCTGGCCAGAGTCGGTTCAAGCTAGTCGTAGCCGTGATACCACCAGCACAGGGACGGAGTAAGTATCCGAATGTGTATACCCCCTCAAGAGAAAGATTTACACGCCCTTGATTTTCCAAACGTAGCTTAGATGTGGCACAAGGCCGAAAGTAAGGAGCACCCAGTGAGAATCGAACTCACTACTCAGTGGTAACTGTTTTAGTGAGACAAGCTTGCTAACCATTACACCACGCCGAGGTTCTCAAACAG